AGAACCAACTGATTCAAATCCAAAGGGTTTAATAAAGTGTATGGTTAACTTGATTCAGAAGTTAAAAGCAAAATGAATTTTTATTAATTTATAAAAGAAAAACTCTAGAATGCGAGCAACCTTTTTCCTTAGTGATCCACTGAGCACACTCGGAAACTTCATTAGTGTGCTTCAATTTACGCATATTACCTTATTTTATTTCCAACGCAACATGATCTACGCATATAAACCATTCAATTTAAAAAATCTATTTTTTTAAAGAATTATTCTATTGTCCATGTGCTTATTATATATGTATAGAACGGAATTAAAGAAGTGTCCTTCAGAATAAACCCACAAGACATGAGAATATGTTGCCGTATTTTTTTTTTTTTGGTCAAGAATATGTTGCCGTATTAAATATGAACTTTTTGGTTAAAAATCTTCTTTGTCAAATCGTAATAGCCCACGTCCGCCCGTCATGGTCTTTTCTTGTCTTGTCTTTGTCTTTTCTTCGTACTGTTATACATGGTTCTTCTTTACTTTATATATACTACCGCTGCTATTTATGTTAATTAATTTGACTAAATTAAAAAAATTATTAAATTAGTTATTTATAATAAATATGTATTATTTTTTTTAAATAATGATCATGTATATTAGTTAAATCTATAATTTGATAAAATCTTTATAACATATGCAATTTACTATAAGGATTATTTTTAAAAAATAGATAAATATGAGAAATAAAGTGGATTAAGATTTTATATTCAGAACCAAATTAAAAGTTAAATTAGCTCTTATATTAAAAACTGGAGGTAGTATATATACTATTTCCACTCCTATAAGGATCTAATTCACTAAGTTGGGAAGATCAAAAAATTTAGTTAAGTTATGTTATCTTTTTTAAAATATTTTTATTAATCATATGTAATTGAATTACCTATTGATAGTAATTTCTTAACATATACAATTATTATAGAAATTACTTGAGGGCAAAGTAGATAAATATTAAAAACAGAGTAGATTGAGATTTTATATTTAAAATCAAATTAAATATCAAATTAACCCTTATATTAAATATCGGAGGTAGCATTTCACCCTTACTTCTCTTTTTTTTTGGCATATACTCTCGGGTTCCAATCATATCGTGTGTGTCATTACATATATTTTTTAATTCAATCTTTTGAAGTAATAGTCCAGTCTTCAAGTTATATAAACACATCAGGACTTGCCCAAAAGAGACGATAAATTCTATCAAATATTATCAAATCCTTTGAGCCAAATTTTCATGATTTGATGTTTTCCAACTTAAAAATTACCGATTATTCAGAACTCATACGTGCAAAGATGGCAAAACTCAAACGATGGCAATAAACGCGATGGAAATAAATTGCTTCTTAACTAGCTACGCGGTCATGCTTTACAGTTTAGCTAACATCAAGCGCGCGTCTTTTAAAACTTCTCTGAAAAAATGAGATCGTGAATTTGAATCTTAAAATTTAAAATTTTTCTGAAATATAAAATCGTGAATTTGAATCTTAAACGTGGTCACATAGAGGGCATAATGTGTGTGAGTTATGATAAAGATTTAAAAAAAAAACAATGCTGGTAAAAAAAAAACATGGTCCACTTATACCCCGGAAGACTTTAGTGTGCTTCAATTCAATGACCCGAGCATCACCTCCTTATTTTATCTTTTTTTTTTTTTAAACCAAAACCTCCTTATTTTGTCACTAACGCAACCTAATCTATATATAATAATAACAATTCAATAAAAGAATTATTTAAAGTATTGGTCTATTCTTTATGTGTGTTCGTGTACTTGTAGAACGAAATATGTAATCATTCTTGAGACTAAGCCCACACAAACTAGTCTAATATTTTCATTGTTTTTTTTATTTCTTCCAGATCATTATATATGATTCTTGCTAGCTTTACAAAGTCTGTTTATTTTATTTATTTTAATTACTTGTTTTTCCACGTTGGCATCCTCTTGTGAGATCTTATCATATGACTTGACTTTATTGCATCCTGCTATTTGGTTCGCCTATCCTTTACCTGAACTTCAATCAAAGTTTGATAGCCGACCATAGCCTCTCAACCTGTCCACTGCTGTACAAGGTTGCAAACATCTATATATATATATATATATATATATATATGTATATAAAATATACATACGTCTTCCTGTGCTTAATATAAAAATTAAATAAATAATACATGAATATTAAGATAATTAATTTAGTTATTTGTAACAAATATGTATAGGTTTTTCTGAAAATACCTTTTGTAATTATATGCTTTGTAACTATAACCCCCTTGTTATGTGTAATCAACAAAATATTTTAAGAAAAAATTATAAAATTGAGAAACAAAATAAGTGAGATTTTATATTTATGACTAAAATAAACTATTTATGGAGCTTTTATATTTAGAAATCGAGATAGTACTCTTCCAGTTGTTAATGTAACATTTAATTGTATAGTTAATCTTAATCTTAAATATAAAACCTATTTATCAAATTTTTTCAAACCACTTTTATTAATACCCTCTCAACTATAATTAAATAGGAGAAAAAGAAGAAATATTAATTAAAAATTATTAGAGTGTTTTAAAAACACATATATTTATTATAACTAATTAACTTATTTAATTTTTTTAATCTAATTAAATTAGTTAAAAAAATAAGGACCAAAAAAGTAATATTTATAACGGCCGAATGAGTGATCAGAGTTCAAAATGCGATGGTTGCCACATAAGGAACATAGATATACGGAACAGAGCATGATATAGACATGCATGTATACAACAAAATGGTTCGGGTATAATTTGATGTACCAGGTCGTCTCTAATACAAATATCAGATATTCATAAGGGATAAAACAACTCCATTGTCAAGGATCTGTGCTGCTTAGCAACTATTCACACTTCAATCTTCTCATCAGAAATCTCTCTGGTTGATCTAAAAGAGCTTTTGCTGGTTCTGGAACGAGATCTCTGTGCCTCTAGCCTTGCTTCAAGAAGTTTCGCCATCAACGTGTTTTCCTTCACTCCCCTAGGCAATTTCGAAAAAGATTCAGACTTGTTCAAATCTGAGAGACTTAATTTTGATTTCCTCTCTTCTACAGGGCTGCCATTGCCTGTTACCACAGATTGCACGTGGGAATCTTCCCTGCAAATACTCTCAGGATGTACTTTATCGCCTTCCGACGACACAGAGCTGTTCCCGACCACATTATCAAGCCGGTGACTCGAGCTCGTTCTCCTTGTCTGGAGCCTATCGCTTTCTTGTGGACCTTGTGTTGCTTCACACGCAGTTGATACTTCAGGGTCATGTGACATGTTTTCTTGGAAGTGACTGGACCTGGTGAAATCCTCAGCCTGAACTTGTTTGGTTGATGAACTTCCAATTCCTCTATCTTCTAGGCGGACATCTGCAATTTTCAGATCAGAAAAATTGGCGCCAATAGAATCTTCCTCGGCCATATTCCGAGGTGCGCTTGTAGCCTCCTTTAGTGGAAAGGAATCCGACGAATGCTGACATGGGTAGATTTCCTTCAGCTCCTTTGGAAAGGAGTTACCATATTCTTTGCAATCCATCGAGCGGGTCGCATGAAGAAATGTCTCGATATCGAAACCTAGCTTGTCAACAATGGAACTGCTCTCTTCAGAGTCACCCCCAACTCTGGCCAGCTTCATTTGTGCACGCTCATCGAGCCAAGCTTCTGAAATATGAAGGATTAGCTTATCAAGGCTATGATCTCTGCCAACCTGGCCCTTCTCAGACTTCAACCTCCTCAGGGAACGTACCTCTTGTTCGTAGGCTCTAATTCCTTTGGCAAACTCATCACACAAATTCTCTAACAGGATCCGAGCTTCTCTCTCCCTTTCGAGCTCTCTCAAAGAACCAGAAAAAGACGACTTCATCTGAGAAAGCTCCCGAGCCAGTTTCCTGTGCAGGCTTTCTGAGTGCTTTCTTAACCTCCTCTCATCTTCTAGCTCTTCCTTCACTGATTGAAATGCAGCTTTAATTTTGTCAAATTCTTTGATGTTCTTCCTAACAAGCTTGTCCTCCGTTACTCTCTTCATCAGATCCTCCATCCCTTGCCTATTCATTTGCTTCTCTCGTAGCAACTCCTTAACCCGGGCACGAGAAAGGTCCAGTTCCATTTTTAGGGCTTTCACTACTGATATGCTTGAAGCATGATGTTCTTCAAGACTCCATATTCGGTTGAGTACCTTGAGTAACTCTCTTGATGTTTTAATGTTGCAACTTGACTCTCCCATTCTCCTTCCTTTGAAGTTGAAGGAACCCGTAGGAGTCACCGCCTGATTATATGGCGCCACCTGTTTTAAGCAAAATAACACCGTCTCTTTACATAAGCAGGAAAGGATGAAATAACATTTAATGTCTTTCTGATCTCCAGAATATTCACAGAAAGATCATTGATGAAGATAAATACACCAGGACTTGATAATTTGGGTATGAAGTTCCTTTAATAAATTTCAGAGCTACAACCAAAATTGTTAAATGATAGACTGACAGACCATATGATGCTTCAGTTCTTATGAACCAGAGAGAGATCGTTGAAGTGATCTTTGGTAGGAAAAAACGTCAAAGGTAAACCATAATATTTCAGTTCTAAAAGGTAAACAAATTCTGAGAAAGAACCCACGGATTATGGGTCTGAGAGTGTAGAATAAATGTTTGGAGGCAAGATAATCCAAAATGTTACCATAAAATAAAGCACAAGTTCCTTGGAATGGCCACTCTAACTCCACAGCTTTTCCCAGAATGATCAAGTCAGAAAAGCATTTCAATCATAAAAAACTTTCTCCAATAAATTTCTAACACATTGCGTCTGATGCTGAACTCAAGAATGTACTTCCAATTATGTGATGTGTAAATTTGGCGTTTGCTGATATGATCATGCCACCAGATTTTACAACTCAAATTCTTAGGCAAAAAATACACAAGAAATCACGTTTCTTTCAATTGTAGCAATGCACCAATCAGTTCACAAACAATAAATGCTTACTTCCAGGGAGCCACTGTGACTTGCAGGCGACAAAGGCTCCAAAACACAGCCATCTCTGTCAACTGATCTGTGGCTCTGAACAGGCAAAGTCGCAACATGCCTAGTCAAGCTACTCGGAGAAGCTGGCTGCAAGGAGGCACATGGTAAGTCATACTATTCATAACCTATGATCCCCCTATCTGGTTATGTTAAATATGCATAATCTAAAACATTTAACCTGGTTGTAGGGGAAATTGCTCTAATGTAACTTCTCTATATCATTTGACAGGACTTTTAGGTTAATAATTTATCCAATGATTTGGTTGTCATTAGAGTACAATGGCTATCGCACGGTCCATAAAATCAACCCTATCTAATGAGGTAAAGCTCGTTGTTGTTGGTGTTTGTTGGGAATGTGTATTGCTTCCTTGCTTCATTTTTGAAGCGGAGGTTATAAAGTAGGTGAAGGAAGTAAGCTGTACATATTCTCAACAAACAATATAGAGGGAATGATATAAAGTAAGTCCACCTACCACTCAGTATAGCAGCACCGTAGAAGAGTGTTTTAGGCCTCGATGACCACCTCCGAAATGCGAATTTAGTGTTACTTTTGAATGGATATTAATAGACTTTTGTCTTAGATTATGCAAATTGAACAAACTAGATAGATGGACCCCATGCGCCACACGGTATCAAAAACTGAAACCATAGCAAAATTTGAAAACTATATGAACAACAGGTCACCTCTTCATGAAACGCTCTTACCTAGTTGTCAGGAGATTGGACATAGACTATATTAGTCCATATTGTCAGAGAAAGGCTAGAGAGCCATAAGGTTCATAGAAATAACCATACTTTGATGCTCATTTGCTCCTTATAAGAAGCAAGCTTCAAAGCACATGGGAAGAATATGAAGAAGGAAAGAATTTGTTTTCAATTTCTCGAGTGTTGACAGCTATGTTCTTCAATAACGTAATAGGATTGTAAAAATGATCCAAATATTATATTTCTATCGGAGAACCTCACAGTAAACACATTAACAACTTTACGAAGCCTTATAAAGAATCAACTATCAATCATAAATTTTAAAAAAAAAAAAAAAAAACAGAAAAACTGCCATAGATTCATACGTGTAAGAAGCAACCCGCTTGCAAGAGTTTTGCATAACAAGCTGTGAACTGAAGGAAATAATTAGAAAACAAACAACGCTGTGAAGCAGAAGATCTGGCCAAGGGCATCACTGAAAGCCCCAGTAAATGTTAAATAACCACAAAAAAGCAGCAGACTTCTACAAATTCGAGATGGAAAAAACCAGGCCATTAGTGCTTAATGAAGCAGCACAAATATGAAGAAAATGGCAATATAAAAACTAACAGTAACTAAAAGGCAGAGAACTGAGCAGAAGCTAAGATGAAACCTGATCAGTGGGCCTCTGTGGATTCTCGTTCTTATGACGGCGGCGGCGGCGGCGGCGGCGGATTCTGGTGGCCGGTTTGGTCATACTGGGAAGTGGGGCCTGAATCTGAAGGTGTTGGGGTTGAAGTTCCCAGAGGTTCGCACAGAGCTTTCTGGCAGAAATAGTAGAGGGGGGAAAGTCGACGAATTCTCGAACGTGGTCGTTTTTGCCGCCACTGTGAAGGTGAGACGAAGAAGAAAGCTCAAGCCTCCATGTGGGCGGAGGAGTGGAAGGGCCACCTCTTAACCCCACCAAAACGCCCCGTTTTAACTTGTCCGCCATGAACCCTTCTTCTTCCCTCCTTTTACCCTCTTTTTCTGTAACTTCCATTCTTCTCTCTGAGCATTCAAATTTCAAATTCAAGCCTTGATTTTTTCTTTTTGCCCTTTAAAAGCAATTGATTGATTGATTAGAAAGCTGAATGCTGGCATACCATCTTTCTGCTTCATGCTTGACAATGCCATATGTCCACCATTTCTTCGAGCAAGTTACCTCGCCGGGTTAACTGCAAGTCGTCTTCTTGTCTACGAAATTTCGGCCACCTCAGGATTAGGGTCCCACACAAATAAAAACCTTATTCGAGCATCTTAATACTGTCGACTTTTGTCTCCGCCCAAGGCGATTACTTGTTTGTCCTCTTAAACAAGATGCTTACCTTTGTCAATACTGACATCATTGAAACAGAGTAACTTCCATTGAACTTTATTATCGATTATCAATTATAGTACAAAATATCAATTAAAATTAACTCTGGTTTATGCTTTTTAAACTGTATCACTTGAAATGATGCTGGGCCAGCTAAACCTAAGGAATGCTACGGATCCCATCTATGTATGACCAGGACTTATAGGAGGTATTTATTGAAACATGCGTGGAAGAAAGAAAAGCACGTGGCAGCTATAATAGTAGTAGTGATAATAAATAAATACTAATAATGGTATTTAAAATTTAAAAATTAATTAATTAGTATATAAGTAAATTCACTTTTTATTTTTCTTTATGAATAAAACTGCTTGCCAATACAATTTAAAAGATGATAGCGAAGAAAAAGCATGTTAAACACATTAGGATGATTCCTTTTAGGAAAATGAAACATAGATGGACTTCGTGTCCTAAATTTTAGCATATGGGGGTCCCTCATTTTAGCCCCCACATCCCAGAGGCATTGACAATTATGAAGTTCTCAACATTCCACAGCATCCTGAAAAGCCCACGAGAACAAATATTCCAATTTTTTTAAAGTTTATTTAGCATAAGTTATTTTAAACGGATTTTTTATTTTTGAAATAATTTATAAAACTCAGGCAAGGGTCCAATATGACGAAGCATCCTATGAATTGTTGGTGTGGCATATGAACTGCACGAAGAATTGAGAAGAAGGGGAGGACCACAGTTATGGACCACTTTTGTGTGCATTTCCATGGTCCAAAAACAACATGCGTCCCTTTGACTGACAGCGACAGCATGCATGCCTCCCTTTGCATCCCGACATTTGTCATAATTATGCGATGTTGTGCCAACAGTTTCTCATTTCATTCCTTCTCTGTATTCCCACCTCTCAATTTATAACTATACGAAGCATTGTTAAACAATAAATATAGATATTTTTTTTAGTGAGAGTTTGAATCTTATGTTATGAAAGACTAATATCTTCTGTTAAGTCTACCTCTCGTTCTCATTGGTTATGAGTTACCAATGTGTTATATGTATATATGATGTTACATTTTCCAAGGAATAACTGCGTGGACTCTTAAACTTGGGCTAAAATTCAAATAAAAATAAAGATCGAAGTCAAGCAATCCCATGGATCGGGAGAGGCCACCAACGGATCAATAATAGCATAGGCCAGATAGGCCCAACAAGAACAAGAAAAGCCCAATTTGAGTCCCATGGTTATGGGCCTTTTTGTTTTCGTTTTCATTCATTTCAATACCGCATCAGTCACCAATGGGGGCTGGGTTTAACAAAAAAGACTAGTCCCTCACAACGTGACAAATCAAGATTCGAATCCCTTTTGGGAGAGGTGTCCACATTTAGTGTCAGACAGTACCTCAAATAGGATTACCTCTAACAAGATACATCTCCAGAGATCTGAATAAGCTCGCTGATGCGTTGGTCAAAGAAGGTCTTGCAATTTCAGCTTTTATAGATTCCTGTCCTGATAGCCCAGGGAGCCTGATGGAAACTGAGAAAATGCGAGCCAATCCCTTTTAGTTTATTCTTGAGTTCTCTAGGCTTTTAGCCTTCTCTTGTATTAAAAAAGAAGTTAATATAATTTTTAGCTTCTTAAGTCTGTCTTTATTTTAACTTTAATCTCTCAAATTTTAAATCATAGATTTAGGTTAAAAACAATTTCAAATTATAGGTTTTGATCCCTTTAAGAACAAAATAGTCTAAGCTTTTATTAGATTATGGGGACTAATATTTTAAATGAAAAGAAACTTGAGCGACCAAAATTTATAATTTGAAACCTAAGAGATCAAAAATCAAAATAAGGGCAAACTTGAGGGACAGAGTTTGTGCCCTTAAAAAAATTGATGAAATTTACTATGATGTTCACACAATCACACTTATCATGAGGGTGTTTGGATGAAAACCAAATCATGGTTTTAGAAGTGTTTTTACGGTATACGAAGTAAATATGTGAAAGAATTTATCTCATTCTGTGAAAAAGTGTTTTTGAAAAGTGTTTTTTTAAGTTCCCAAACACCCCCAAATCTCATGTAACATGCGTAAAAAAAATATAATTTTTGGAACTAAATCATTTTCAGCTCCACTTCAACGTATTTTTAATAATTTTTCAAACAAAATTATACTACCAAATCAACATGAGTATTTTAAAAAAATGTTCTGGGATAAGTATAAAAATATTATTATTTGGAATACTTTATTTTAACTAAATTTTTTTGTTATATAGAAAATGAAGAAACTTTGTTTCCAATGTTGACATAATTATATAATTTTTCACGCATTATATAAAAATAATGTATATTATTAATATTAATAATCGGACTTGTTTTTATTTTTATAAATATTTGATATTATTTATTTCAAGTCATTATTTTATTTCACAAGATTTTCAATTATTATTTTATTGTTCTGTTAATTTCTTGCTCAGGTGACCAATAACAGAACTTGTGAGCCGATTTTGCGTAATATACATCTGTCATGAAATTGCCGCTCCGGCAAAACCTGATAGAAAAAATTATAATATGATCATATTTTTAAATCATTGTATATTATAAAAAATTTTAAATTTTATTATCTCTCATTTAAAATTTAACAATTTTTAAATTTTATCCTTATTTAATATGTATCATAACTCATTTAAATAAAATTATACATTTATATAAAAAATTTATCTTAATATTATTTAAACAAAATCAACATAATAATAAATAATAAATAAAATTATATGCCTCCCTTACACATGCAATGCTAGTACGCTGGTCAAAATATATACAAATATGCGTGTGTATATATATATATATATAGAGAGAGAGAGAGAGAGAGAGAGGATATGGGAGTACACTGCGATCTTTCACAGTTCTCTGCTTGTATGAGTTACCGTGAAAGATTCTATTTGTTGTTTTTCTGATTAGGGTTCTCACCGATTCGGTTCCAGCGCAATGAAATTGGCAGCTCTGAAATCTGTGGATAATGCGCACGATGAGTCCGTGTGGGCGGTCACGTGGGTTCCCGCCACAAGTTCTCGATCTCCCCTTCTTCTCACTGGCTCGCTGGACGAGACTGTGAGGCTGTGGCGGTCCGATGATCTCGTCCCTGAGCGCACCAACACCGGCCACTGCCTCGGTGTTGCTTCTGTGGCAGCTCATCCTCTCGGCTCAATTGCTGCTTCCTCTTCCCTCGATAGCTTTGTCAGGGTTTTCGATGTCGATTCCAATGCCACTATCGCTACTCTGGAAGCTCCTCCGTCTGAAGTGTGGCAATTGAAATTCGATCCCAAGGTAATTGAGCTTCCGATCTTACATGAAATTTTAAGTTTTCAAGCTTCTCGATTTATTATGGAGTAAATACGTCATATGGTCTCTGAGATATATTCACCCGAAGCTTTTGTACTGAAATATGCTGTTACGGAATTCATGACTTACTAGTCTCTCTGATGCCATTAGATTTGGATCCCATTGTATACTTACAAAACCTATTTACAAAGTTTCTGAGCCTGTAAATATGAAAGTTTTTACATTTATGCGGAGGTTATGTCCTAAATAATACTGGAAAATCTAATTTTTCACGTTTAATGTATAATTGAACCGCAAGGACTGTGTTTTGTTGATTTGAAAGTGCATCAAGGGTAGAAATCCTGAAATGGTTTTTTTTTTTTTGGGGGGGGGGGGTTTGGGGGGACCCTGTGTTTTAGCTTGAGCCATTGCCAGTTATACTAAACTAGTGTGTAGCCTCTTGTTGGCCTCGACCGGTCAAGTGCTAGGTTGATTTCTCAAAATCTTCTATATACTCCACCTAAAATCTTTCATTTGAGGATCTTTCTGCGAGAGAAACTTATTCGTATTCGCAGTTGATTTGGGAACACCTGGTAACAGTCACTATTCGTGCATATAACCCCATTTCTCTTTAATATAGAAGGCTCAAGATATGCTTCATGTATGAAATTGTCCCTGAGTTGGTAAAAGTAAAACTATTTATCGGCATTCTTACTGGCTTAAAAGTTGAATATATCAAATCCCTCAATTTGTTAGATTTATTACCTAGAACTTCAAATCCCTCAGTTTTCTAGATTTTTTACACGTATGGGTATGTTTATAAAACTTAAAATCTATGATCCCCTTTAGTTAGTGGAGCTTCTTAAACTCAGAGAGCAAGTTCGATCAAAATCAGGAATAGAATCTATTTGCAATCGAAATGCTGGCTTTCGTGCTATGCAATGTGTTTTATTCTCAGCAATTAACATTTCGTTTTAATAAAAAGCATATCTGGGTGAAGAAAAGATTTTGTCCCCATTTGACGTAGTTGGCTTTAATTTGACCAAAACATGGAAAAATTATGAGAAGTGTTCATTCGAAAGCTCATCTTCCTTGCTACTGATGTAACACGGTGTAGCCTTACCCTCTCCTTTACATTAAATGCCATGGTGATTGTTGGTTGACTTTCGACTTCTGTAATATATTTTGCTGAATATGTGCATTGTCTATTTGCTTCATCAAAATCTTTATTACACGAACTGGATTAGCTACTCTTAGAAATGAACTCGTTTGTCATACATTGTGATTAGCGATTGCAGTGCTTCCTATAAGTTTGAGCTGTGTTTTCTTCTGCATGTCTGGTTGCATGTTCTGTTTCAACCTTTATCTCAGTCATATGCTAGTCTCGTAACCCAAATCTTGATTTGAAATTTAGGAATGGCAAGTTTTCTGGTCATGTCACAATTATCACAATGTTGCATTTATGTAATCGGTGCATAACTAACTACCGCCTGCCTTCCACATCACACACCATACGTTGGACTATCGGAATTTTCTTATTCTGATGGTTCTATCTCACTTTTT